ATCAAGCGGAATCAAAATTGCCTGAATAGGAATGATGGACTAAAACAGAATCTGACCTGGTTACAACACCTCCCTCCCCCCCATCAAGTGACAAAACCAACACGAATGTGATAAGCACTTTCATTATGTAAACACACGCTGCTTTTATAATCTCATACACTTATCAAATCCAACAATCTACACATGATGATTTTGTTATCTTTACCAATTGACCAACTTAACAACTAAAAATGCCCCAGACAGACGAACGATGATCAAGTTAGTAAACTTTTCTTTCTTTTTTTCGATATCATAACAGACATACTATTACTTTTGTTATTTGGTATAGTTATCTTCATCGCTAATTTTACTTTCAATATGTCCCTTTAACTTGACCTATGTCTATTTTCTCACCCCCTAACTGTTTGTTATATATATGCTGAGATTTTGTAAATTCCGGTTTAATAATACTTTGATAAAGCTATTAGCATTAAATAGCGAAACGTCAGTAAAAACAATATCGTTTTGTTTTTCATTCATTGGGAAATACAAAAACCTTTATTATAATGAATATAGCATTTTTATTACAATACACAACAATTTACCAATCAAGTGGCACTGATATGTTTGTTAGCAATAATTAGTCAGTGTCAACATGTCACTGGGATGATAACACAATTAAAAGGTAGGAATGGTTGCAACAAGTGGATTGCATAATGCATAATTTTGGAAAAAATGATGAGTAATTAAGGAATACGCGTGTGCACAAGTTGATTACGTAACAGATTGTTAAAGAAAATAAAACGATTTGGACAGTGATAATTTGTAACTAAGGATGAAGTGATTATAAGAATAAATAATTTTAAAAGGATAACACGTAATTAAAGATGAAGTAGTCAGAAAAAATAAAATAATTTGGACAATTATAATTTTTATAATTTTAAAGATTTAGGGGGAGAGGGGGGCAAAGTAGTCCGGTTTATACAATCATGTAACGATGGCCAAGGTAAGGAAAGTGGCTGTACAAATATCTTCTGAACACATAGGTTTGGCTTCTTCTTCTTCGGGTGGATTCCTTTTGCTTCAGCTGTCTTATGTAGAAGACGAACTCATAGAGCAAAATTAAGATAAGTAGGAATGCGATAAATAATTTTAAGTGCAGTATTAACGTCAACCTTATGCTCACTATCTACAAGGTGTGCTAAAATAGAGCTACGAATAGATCTTGTTTGTCCCTTGCTTAACCATGCTGGATGATGTTCGGAAATACGATGATGAACCTGCTTAATTGTACGCCCGTTGTAGCTGGCTCCGCAGCTGCAGTTAAACAGGTAGATACACATAGAAGAGGCAAATTAAGGCAGTTTATCCTTATTTCTCGAACATAGAATAGGGGTGGTTGTGAAGAGACAACCTACCTCTGCTGCGTAATAAGCTCCTTTAACTGCATTCTTCTGGTGCTGTGTTATTATTTCACTGATGTTGTTACCGAGGAACTGCAGTTTTATGAAAATTGGTTTTTTTCGCAACTGTTGCTATACTGAATTATTATGATTATTGTTATTTGAATATGTTTTTGTAGACACACGGATCAATCAAAATGAATCGACAGTGGATCCATCGTCTCTAAGTCAAGAAGGCATAGCTGATCATTTGGGTGTCACATGTTTAGCTACAACAATGTTTAACACTTTACGTCAAAAACCCATGAAATTGAGCACATTTCTTGGTTTACCAGTAACAAATAGTCAATTATCATCATCGACAGTCAATCATTCACAAGTTGGTGAATTATGTGGATTAACTTTGCAATATTGTCATGCAAGATTGTGCAGGTGAAATGCAGTTCTTGATGTCTTTTGTTAACATTTTTTGTCGATTATATACGAGCACTAACAACCTGTTAGCCAGTGATATTGAGTGTTGGTGGTTGGTTTGCATGGATTCGATTGATGGTGGTTGCAGGTTGATTGATATGTCACTGGTTGACGTCGGTTTGGAAAACCGTTGAGAAACTAGGGGGTACTGGACAAACGTTTCGCCCTACTCTGGGACTCTTCAGCAGGAACCTGCCCACCAGGATCTGTAGTCTCGTGACCAGCAGGGTTCAACAAGTCAGGTAGGAGTGTGGCGTGTGCTACTGACATGATTTATCAGTAGTAATATGTAAAGAGACGTTCATCGATCGGTACACAAAAATATCAAATAGAGGAGAGACAGATTTGACGTTAAAAAAAGAGAAGATAATTCAGCGTGTGAGACACGAAAAGAAGATAAACTAATAAAATACGAAGGAGGCAAAAGTAGCTAGCACAACACGAAAGATCTGTGTCTCTTCTGTTTGGCGTATGCCGTAGCTGGATGTTTTTGACAATTTAATTGGTACATGGTAGATGATAGTGACTTTGTGGCCGGTTAGCACCAGGGGGTCTAATATTGAGCTGTTGATGGTTTTTTACTACACCTTCACTTAAGCAAACTGGTAGATGTTCTCAAGCACGAAAAATCAAGTTCCGAGAGTAGCGGCCGATATAACTCTCTCTCTACCACAAGCGCAGTTGAATTGGTACATGGAATTGGAAGTGACTAGTCTAGGTACTTCATCTTTCAGTCGAGGAATCACCATCGGTCGTGTAGAAAAAAATATGACGTGAAGTTTATCAGTATTAAAGCTTTTTTGAATAGATTTTCTTGACTTGTTAGTAATTGTTTTTTACTCGGTAAGTCACCCTTGAATTGCAAGCGTTTACATAAAGACTTCTTCTTATTTCCAGAAAGAAAATATCTCTTTTCTGCTTTCTTGGTGATGTGTTTTTTTGATGAACTTTTGTGGATAGCTATTTTCAATTAGGGTGGCATATACGATCAACCTTAAGTTCATCTTCAACTACCTCTTCTGAGCATATAGCTCTAACCGCGTGTGACTGAGGGTCCTTATTAAATTTCTTTTGTCCTGGAAAAAGGAACGAAGCTATGCAAATGTGTATATTGTCCTGTCCATATGCTTATCCTATGCAAATTTCTCTTTAGACTACCATCTGATTTTCTTATGAGTAGGAAATCTAGAAAGGCAATTAATTCTGTTTTAGAGTTTCTCTTCGCACATGAACTTCATAGCGAAGAATGTGCATCATGGAATTGAGTTATTATTATTGTGTTCGTATCCAAATCATTATCACAAAGAATGAAGGTGTCATCCATCCATCCACCCTTAAGTATCTGTGCAGTTTTGAGGTTAAGAAGTTACAAAAAGAGAGAGACTATTTCGCTGATTTTTCTATTCTTAATACGTATCAGAATGAATTAACTGTCAGTGAGTCGTGTTGACCCTTGGATTTTGTACCAGCTGGTAGTGGTGTAACACCAGAAGGCAAGACACGGAAGCCAAGATATATATTTTCAAGTGATCAGACCGCTGTATATATATATACGCTTTATTTTATTTATTCTACAGCCTTGAATCTCGTATGATATCCTCTGGTTTATTATTACCGCCAACAAGTGTTCGTCCAGGCGATCATGGATCCCTTGTATATGATGAACATAGTCTTATTCACTATTATGATCAACTGAACGAGTGGCCTTCAACGACAGCTAATGATGAATGTTTTATAGCATTGATTAATGAATTATCCAGGTGAGTATTCCTCTCTCTCTCTCTTATCTCTCTTCCTCTTTCGCTTTGTTCGTGCTTCTTTGATCGGGTTACGTCATACGATTTTGCGGGTTTCCATCCCTTCATGATGACGTTACGCGTCGTCTACTTCCACAATCTATATATCCCTTCATTAAAATGTTCCATCATTTAGAGATTCATTGGAAGACCAAGGCGTAGTACTGGAGAGCAGTTTTATCCCTGGCTTAGGGCACCTTCCAGTTACAAGGTGACCTCGTAGACTATCCTGACACTGGAATCCGATCCAGTGGGCCATGAATTCCAAATTCTGCCAATTCACAACATACAGCGCAACTATCAACCAATGTTGTAGACAATCAACTGTTTTTGGTGTAGTTGTGTTCTCTGAGCTCTGGGTACTTTAGTTGAGAAGTTTTCATCGCCTTACTGGGCAACATCCTCAGAGGATTAATTCAATTTGAAGTGCGGATTTAATAATTCCCCTTGGAGTTTATTAATCATCTCTCCTGGTCACCTTGAACGTCGTGATTATTGATGATTGCTTTTGTGTGCTTTCTTCTCTTCTTCTAGTTCACTTGTATCGGTGTTGATTGGTTTCCTTAATCTGAAGTTTGACCTCATGTTCACGTGATTTCCTCCTTTTGGATTGGTTAATTCTCTCTATGTCAATGTGTCTATTTATTGATTGCGAATTCACTTGAATACCAGGCATCTAGAAATTCTCTGACATTTTTGGTGTTTTCCTCTGTCTAAGATTTGAACATTATCTCAAGTGAATTGGTGTCCATGGTTGTCTGTATGCAGTGATATGAAGGAGTGGATATCATGTCTTTTGATGACCGGCAAGTTTATGTTCATGGATGCGCGAAGACGAAGAGGGCGTTCAGTTTAACCGGTGTAATTTTTTTTTTCACAGCAGTTGTAATTTATTCTGTAGACGATGTTGATTTTACCATCTTTGGCTGTTGAGTCTTCTTTTGGTTGACATAGAGTCAGCCGAGTGAAGTGATATTGTTGGTTAGTGTGAGACATCAATTTCTTCAAAAGGTTTGAATAGTTTTACAGCGATTTCGGAGATGTTCTTTGTATATGATAGGACACTTTTCTTTGTGTTTTCTTTTGGGACCTTTGATTTGATTGGTTTGGTCTGTGGGTTGATGTCTTCTGATGAAGTTTAGTGGATGTCCATCTAGAATGGTGGACACATTTCAAACCTGACTGATGTGAGAATTCAGTCTGCACCAAAGAAAGAACTAGACATACTACACTAGTTACTAGTGTCCAATCAAAGTATCCACTACAGCCTTACTGGAGGTAAATCGCTAGCCCAGATAGCTTAGTGGTAACATCTGTGACTGCAGCGCTGGGTGACGTGGGTTCGAATCTCAGAGGGATGGGACATGAGTTTCTTCAAGGTTGCAGACATGCCTTGCTAACGAGTGCCAACTAACACGAAACCTAGGTCCAAGGCTTCCTAGTGATTGCCTCCAACCATCTAATATATCCGTAATTCTTTGGAAGACGTCCATGATATATTTTTTCTTCAATTTTCCTTAAGGCAGGAGTGGTGCAGTTAGTGTCCTAGCTCTCTTGAATTATGTTTCAATGCAACTCTTCTTGTGTGCCATTTATTGGATTGTTGCTGTTGTAATTGAGTATATGGTATATGTGAGTTAATTTTGTGTAAACTGGAGTTTCTAATTTTCCTATGGTTGTTCGCTTGACTAAGACGTCCAGAAATGGAATTTTGTCCCCGGATTCCTCTTGTCCTATTGTGAAGTTGATGTCGTTGAAGATGTTGATTATTCACTTGTATGTTTTGTCGTTTCTTTTGATTATCACGAATATGTCATCCACGTAACGTACCCCAGTAACTGTCGTCTCATCTGACGTGGTGAACCCCTTTGGTCACAACTTCTAGCCAGAACTCCAGATAACTTCTTGTATGGAGTCAGTCGCCAGTAAGCATCAGGTTAATTACCGAGTGTTGGTTTTCAGGGACATCGCCTTGTAACCTCAACGTCCTGGGTTCGAATCCTGGCAGATATGTATCGATGAAGAGTTCGAAATGGGTGCGAAGCGGCTATCCAATACTGTTTGGTTTTATAATGGTTTGTTTCCTAATTGTGTGGTGTCTCATCCGTGCTTTTCTTCGTAATCCTGCTTCACAGTAACTGTCAAATAGCGTGGACAGCTACTGATCGATCAACCGCCTTTACCACTGTTTTGACCCTCTTCAGGATTATTTTCCGTCTAGACCGTGTCTGTATCTCTTAATTCGTAGTCATGTATCTTCTCCCCTCATCGTCTAATATTTTATTGCCACAAGAGAGATGGTAAAACATCATGCATGGCCTTATGCGGTGGTGATCACTGCTCTGTTTCCGCACTTATATTGTCTGTGCGAAATGTGTGTTCTGACAGCAAATGTCTGTTTCTATCATCTACCACACTGTGTCACTCTAGAGCTCAATGAATATGCAGGAAATCTGACCAACTGGTTTCAAAGTAGAACTTTGCACAGATATGCAGCAGTTCGAGTTGCCACAATCCCTCAATGTACCACACAAAGCAAGAGAAGAGGATGAAGACAGATTCAAAAGAGAGATTATAAACAGAAGTGTGAGTGAAGAGAAAAGAATAGTAGTAATATTGAAGATCAATAGAGCTCTATTGGATATGACAGATCACAGAGATGGGATGCACCAGTGTCAGGTATTGACAAGGATGACTTTGAGCCATATCACCAATTGTCTCCAGCCGTCGTTGGTTCTTAAAGTCCTGAGGACCCCAACAAGACAGTAGCCTACACCTCCCTACATGACTGGCTAGCTGGCTGGCTCAAACTAACTGTTATGGATTCCACTGACTGATGAAGCCGTGTTTTTGTTTGACCACCACTAGCCAACTAACTCTTTTCCAACCTGATCCATCCAGTGTCAGTCAGCTAATATTGGCTGTTGTCGATAAAGGCGATGGCTGGGTATATCACATGCGTAACACATGTTTTAACCATCTCAATCGATGTGGCTGCTTCACACAATCTCGTCGATTGATTTTCCCTCCTCCTTACCCAGCACTCGACCGATAACGCCTCACCAACTCAATATTACTCACCCTATAACACCTACCGACTAATACGTATAGGAGATAGAACACAGGCACCTATGATCAAAGACAGTTAGCTAGCTAGCCTTTTCATGTCTTCCACTTTCAATGGCCATGTCTAGCTCCCAGCCAGCCGTCAAAGTGGATGGAGTGAACTGTTACTGAGCAGTACATATGCTCTGTGCTCGACAGCTGGAGATCACAATAGATCAGAGGACTGACTGCATCTTCGTGTTTATCTTTTTTTCGCCTTGTAAATAAATGACATCAGTGTGAGACTGATGAAACTGTGAGCCAATTAATTCATAGGAAGCTGCCTTAGAAATGTTTTGTATTTTTAATATTTTTCCTGTCCTTCGAAATTTTTCAGCTGTGTGATTGATTTTCCGGGGTAGGATCGCTAGACCCACTCCCAACTATCCACCTTTTCTCGGATATGGGACAGACTAGAAAACTAGAGAACTAGTGAACTAGTCGAGGTATTTTGCGTCGGCTGGGCGTCGAACCCCAGGCCACATACGTGGTTAATAAGCGTCCTATCTCTGTATCCACTGACGCCTTGTAAATGGTCAGCTAATAAATTCCTACAGCTCTTGCTCTGAATACCCATTGGTCGAAAACGAAATCTGATTCGATCACTTACTACGCGCAGTTGGGGACTGATGCTATTTCGTGGAGGAAGACTTAAATCTTCTAATAAAAAGCTTAGTGGAAAGTTGATTTTCGCCACGTTTTATAGACCAAGAAGATATACAGTTAAAACTTATGAAATGCGATTTCATTTCCGTTCATCCGTTCTGGCTGGCTGTGGTTGAGACAATACTTCCTAGATAAGTAAAGGAAGTGGTGAACTCCTTCCAATTTCTCCTGGTGATAGTGATTGGTGGTGATTGTTGTTGTTGTTGCTGTTGTTGGTTGGTCAGGCATCTTCATCACCTCCATATTTCTCTATGTTCACCTGGAGTCTTATCTTCGTTGACTGCTTCTTCAGCCAGTTTGTTGGTGTTCACCTGCCTGCAAGTCTTCAAGTTTGCATTAGACATTAGACGATATAAATTACCCGTCAAATCTAGATCTTCTAGAGTCTTCTTGTCGCTCCCGCGTACTTCTGTCTTGGTGAAGTTTAACAATAGCACCCCAGGAGTGCGAACGCTCCAATAACCTTGAACGCATGCTAGTCGTTGTCTAACGGCACCTAGTCATTATCATAGCTGAAATCTATTCACCAACTTAGGAGCAAATTTCACCCAAATCACGTTTTTAAGTACTGTCTGGACAGTGTGTTAATAGCTCGTTAGGGTTAGGGTTAGGATTAGGTTCCTAATTACCCAGTCAGAGAATTCACCAATGTGGGCTAAATGGGTAATTTTGGTTGGCAAAGACGTGGGCAAAAGGGGGTTAACATGTTACATAATTAACCCATTTTACTCATATCGGCCACTTTCTCCCCGTTTGCCCATATCCTAAAATATTTAATTGTCCCACTTTTTCCCGCGTTGCCCGATTTCGAACGAAAAACTGTCCACGTTTTTACCCACATATCCATCCCACGTGTCCAAAAGATAATCACCGACTGGGTAGGATTAAGGTTAGGGTTACAATTAGGGATAGATTTAGAGTTGATAACATTTGTTTTAATTTGTTTTGTCATCCACATTCCCCTGGTAAGTAGTCGTCGATCCTCTTACTGGAAACCACAGTAATCCAACCGAGGTCTTTTAGGGAAGACTGCACAACAGGATAAGAGAGATAAACAATTCACAAAAAACAGCTCATCTTTAGTCACCTTGGTGAATACCCATGTACAGAAACCAGTCTAACTTGGCAACTGATACTCCTCATTACAACTGGGAGGTATTTTTGAGTCACTTAGTCAGAGAAAGATACCTTGTTTAATATGTTTTCATGCATTTTCTTGTAAATATACGTCATGTTTTTTTGGGCGAAAATCCCTCATTTTTTATGATTGGTCGACTGAAGGTCATTTGTTTCCGTTCACATCCCTTTCAGACGCTATTGTTGAACTTTGCCCTTATCTTCTGTTATTTCTCTATAGTTTTCTATTATTATTATAATTATAATTATAGTTATAATAATAATTATTATTATTTGTCATATGTTTATAGATTTTCATCTGTCCTGCAGTCTGCTTATTCAAGCTATGAACCGCACTACATACTACAGTATGCCTTACAACTTACGTGAGTCCTCTCTGTTTATTGTTGTCATAATTTTGTTTTTTGGTGGTGGTGGTGAATGATGTTATTTTTTCCTGACTAGCTGCTACTTTTACCTTGGTGGTAAATCTGTCGCGCTTGCATATCACGCAATGACACGATGAAGCTACATTGTAACTGGTACTGATGTTCCTTACACAGGTCCTACTATAACATGCTAGAAAGGTTAATATGTGTGTAAAGCTTGGGCACTGTGGTAGTAAGTAATTCCATATTAGTTGGTATATTAGACGTATCTATCACACAGTGAGTGAAACAGTATCATTATTCACTGGATGACACAGTTTCGAACAAAATTTGTTTATTGTTCATAATCATATTATCACTTGTAATCACAAGACTTTGACACTTGAGTTTTATAGTTTTCTTTGTTCTCGTCTATTTGTCGTCGTTGAGGTAGTAGAATTTTCCGGATATCTGGGTGGACAGGTGTTGAATCATTCCTATTATATGTGTTTGCAGTTGATTCGATAAGCGAGGCTTCCGTTGTGAATTTCTCCCTCCACCCTGTGACATTAGATTTTAAAACTGTTATCTTATCCCATCCCATCCTATTGTATGGTTGTGTGTAATTGCATATGGTGTAGTACCTTAGCTGAACTATTCTCTAGATTTCTTATCTTATCATTCGGGTCAACTAATCTAGATCTTGCAAGGTTTTTAAATAATTCGCTAGTGTCACCTCGCATGTTCTACTATTTTGACCTATGCCTTCGACCTGACAATCATTGCAGGTTATTAGACAAACTAAATTGTTTTGTTTTAAAGGCTCCACAGGAACCTTTGACCAACATAGCTTGTTTCTAACTGAGTTTGTGAGTTTGATTGTCACTTTAATTCCTGCCTCGTTAAGAATTCTGCGTAAGGTTTCCAAGGTTCCTTCGTTGCATGGGATTACTACTGATGATTTAGATTACTTTTTGTTGTTGTTGTCACTATCTTGCGCATGGTACACATGCATGTCGTCGTTAATAATAGTCTTATTATTGTTACTATCACTTCTAGTATTATTTATTTTATTTTTACATTTTCCTACACAATCGCTGATTAATTTATCAGGGTAATTATGAGGTTTCAAAGCTTCTCTTATATGCCTCACTTCCTGTCTTAAATTTTCCTTAGTACTACACAGCTTTTGTGCTCTATCACTTAAAAATTTCACCAATCCTATTTTCACTGATATAGGATGGGATAATCCAAAGTCCAAATATCTGTTTGAATGTGTGGGTCAGTTTCTTGTAAACACACTAGTGTGTTCAACTGCCCATCTTCTTTACTTTTCACGCTACAATCTAACATTGGAAGCTCCTCTTTTTGATTGACTTTCCAATTCATAAGTGAATCGAATCGCCTCCACCTTTGAGTTAATATGTTCGAAAAATATTCTAAAATGTGTCATCTACATACCTGCACCATACTTATGGGGCGGTGGGACTGAACATTTCAATCGCTAAGTTTTCCCACTTATCCATGAATATATATCTGCCACAACCGGGGATATTGGTGACTCCATGGTATTTTTTCCTGACTAGCTGCCACTTTTAACTTGTTGGTAAGCCTGTGGGGCTTGCATATCGCGCAGTTACACGACGAAGTTACATTGTTACTAGAATTGATGTTCCTTACACAGGTCCTACTACTATACTATAGAGGGTATTTCGATGATAGTATTTAGACTGAAACCTCTAGTGATTATAACGTGGCGTGTTTTTACACTATCCTGTGATTGGACCCTAGTTTGTAACTAGTGTGCCATGTGTGTCTAGTCCTTTGTGTTTACTGCAGACTGAATTCTATCAGTCACGTCTGCAATGTGTGTCCACCTAGAGAGAAGTTAGGATACCAAAAAAAAAACGATAAGCAACATGGGACTCTCGCAATGATTCATCTAAGGGTCTATCGCCTACCTAATCAATAAGTATACTGAAGAAAATAGAGAAGGATCAGACACACACACACACGCGTGCTGTAGAGAGACCTTTGAGGGACACATCAGGCACCACCAACCAGTCAGGCAATCACTTGAGTAGATGCGGAATAGGAGATGACGGGTTGGGTGAGCGTAAAGCGTAGTTGGTCATGGAAGAGTTCGTGAGAGGAGAGGGAGCGATAATTACGCAACCATGGAGCCAGTTAGCTAAAGAAGACTGTAATACTGTGCAGCCCTTTTTTCACTCGGAATTTAAAGGAATAATAGTAATTCAAGAATTAGTTTGTAGAGATTCTATTTGTTTCAGGCTAGACCGCAGAGTGATATCAGTTAGAGAACCATTGAAAACCAGCCACAGGGAGTACTGCCAGACAGCTGTTTCGTCAGCCTAGTTTGGGAATCGTCGGCAGTACGCACCCACTGCACCGGGGTTCGAACCCAGGGCCTTCCGGTTACAAGGCAAGCTAGTTGACGACCATTCAGCCACTGGGACCCGACTGGTCAATGGCCAGTCCATGAATTTTAACTTCCACCCAATTCGTGATTTAGCGCGACTGTCACCAACCAATGTCATCGGTTGGAACTCCATCCTCACTCCCGACTGGATGGACCTCACTGGTCATGACTTCTCACTAGAACTCCAGGAAACTTCGTCCTGTAGCAAGTCACTCACTAGCGAGCATCAGATTAATTAATTTTCAAGAGTTTGGTTTGCAAGGATTAGATTTGTTTATACGAGTTTGATCACGGATTTATATCAGTTGGAGAACCATTGGAAACCAGCCACAGGGAGTACTGGACAGCTGTTTCGTCAGCCTAGTTTGAGACTCATCGGAAGTACACCTACAAACTAATTCTCGACCTATTAATCTGATGCTCGCTGGTGGCTGGTTACAGAACCTAACTGCCTGCCTGGATTTCTAGTGAGAAGTCATGACCAGTGGCGTCCATCCACATCGGGACTAAGGATGGAGTTTCCACCGATGACATTGGCTGCTGATGGTCGCGCTAAAATCACGAATTATTAGCAGTTAGAATTCATGCAGTGGCCATTGACGAGTCGGGGTCCCAGTGGCGGCTGTATGGTATGCGAGCTTGCCTTGGGTTCGAACCCACCCCACGAGGTGGGTGCGTACTGCGGATGCAGAGTCCCAAATTAGGACGAAACACAGCTGTCTAGTATTCCCTGGTAGTCATCAATGGTTCTCTAACTGATATCAGCCTATGGTCTAACTTGGAATAATAATAATAATAATGGTAAAGCAATCATTAATTCATTGACTGTGTGTTGCACTCATACCTATAACTGTTGTAATGATCACTGTGATTACTAAATTTGGCATATCTTTTACCGGCTTGTAATGATTGAAGAGAGAGATAATGGGAATTTGTTGTTTTTTCCTTTCTAGTTCTGCTATAAACTCTGCATGGAAACGCTTACCAGTCCTAACATGTTCAAGTAGAAATGACCAGTTGGTAAGTGGTATTTTTGTTTCTTGTTCTTGTTGTGTCTTGTGTTTATTGACAACATTTTCGGCGTTTTAATAATAATAATTCGTATATTCGATGGTGCGTCAGTGGGTACAATGACACTCTGCTTGCCTTACCACGCCACATGTAGTCTGGGTGCGTTTCCCAGCCGACGAACTACTTTGCGGGGATTTAATTGGTTTTTAAGATTTCATCAGGAGCTGACATCGGTTAGAGAATTTTTCGGAAACAAACAGAGAATGCTGGAAAGCCATCCGACTGATATCTGCTACCTTGACGGGGTGGTCGGGCTTGCACATCGCAATGATCCAACAAGCTACACTGGCTGAAACCAATGTTCCTGCAGGTCCTACCATGCCAGGAAGGTTGTTAGGATAGCGATTAGACTACAAGCAGTTACCGGCTTTGTGTACTGCTGGGGAACAGGGATGTAACAGCAGTAAAATGTTTCCCTCAGATGACCAGCATGCCAGCCAGCTATGCTGTCTCTCCACTCAGGACAAAAGGTCTTAGAAAAGGTCGACCTCTAAAATTTTAAATCATGACTTACCCTACAGTGGTCCGTAACCGGCGGTAAGTTTACTAACACGGAACCAATCCAAGAAACCAGTTCATACAGGCCGTGTGTGACAGGCCTCAAGCAATTGTTCTCTGAACTCTGAGGTCACGCAAAACTAACTCTCTTTCCATATCAGGTACCCGAATAGTCAATCAACTTCCATGGTGTTGTCAGCCGGGAAGTAACAACGGCCCACACACTTCCAAAAGCACACGAAGCCTCCCCGAGCTGGACAGCCGTCTATGTCGTCAACCTAGTTCGCGACTCTGCTTCAACAATATACACCCACCTCCAGGGTTCGAAACTAGGACCTTCTAGTTACATGGGACATTCAATTGGGTCCCAGTGGCTTAGTAATCTACCAGGTCGACTTGTAACTGGAAGACTCTGGATTCGAATGCCTGTGGTGTTGCGTTCTGATAAACTGTAGTCCCAAACTAGACTCACAAAACAGTTGTCCAGTTATATTCCCATGTCCTCCAATCTTAATCTAACCAATCTCAGCTCATGATGAAATCCTGTAACCTAATAAACTTTGCCTAGCCCAAAAAAGAGGAATAGTTGGGCGGGCATCAAGCTGACAACTTACACCGTGCATAAACAAAACCACGTCTACTGAGGCATCAAAGCATAAAGCCTGTATGATTTTCCATTTAGACGCCCTTACTTGACACATAATTGTTAAAATTATAGATCTTGTTCATCCTTTCCATGTTTGTCATTCATAGAATCATTTGTATTGGAAATACTACTATTATTTTGACTTAATGCACAATTGTGATATGCACAGTTATATCATAGGAGTGACAAAATACCATCATTGGTTTATATTTTAACATTTTACGAGTTGATCACGGAGTGATATTAGTTAGCGAACCATTGAAAACCAACACTGGAGTACCGGACAGCTGAAATTCATTCACCGAGTTTGAGAATCATTGGCAGTAAGCACCCACATCATGGGGTTCGAACCCAAGACCTTCTGGTTACAAGGCAAGCTGGCTCGTATACCATTCAGCCACTGGGACCCGATTCATTGGCCCATGAATTCTTTATTATTTATTATTTTTTCCTTCACGTTACCCAGTGGAACATAGGGCTTCTAGCCTGGAGGCTTAAAATTCCAGTAGCAGTGGTGTTTACTTTTACTGGATGGGGTTGCTAGCCACCTCATGCCTCCCAACCTTCCCTCTTTACCAGTCTTATTACTGGTTTAGTGAGGTAAAGAAGTGCGTCGGCGGCCGTTGATCGAACCTCGGACCACATGAGGCGTAGTCGGCGATCATTCTACCGATGCACATGCCATCGACGCACATATGTGATTAGTCCCCTTTTAATGTTTTCGTCGTTTTCTCCAGGATCAGTTGAATTAATAAATACAACACATAGAGATGTGTGGTAAAACTATCTAGCTTCTCCTATGTTTGAGTCCCACTCAATCATATGTCGGCAAATGCATAATATTAATTCTTTGTTTCTTTATTTTTATTTGTTTTTTCTTTTTTTTTTTTAAATTTTAGTTACGCGCATTTATTTTTCTAGCCTCAAGAAATGTACTTGCCTCTTGTCTTCAATTAATGGGAATTATGCCTTTGAAAGCGATTTAATATATATATTTAGCAAAAATATCTACGATTAACTTTTTATGTAGTCATTTATTACAGATAGATTATTTATTTTGTAATATTTCAAATAGTAATACATTTTTTTGTATGTGTGGATAATATCAGAAATTATGTTTTGGCCATTGGGTTAAGATGAAGAGGGCTAAGATGGTTGGTGCCAGCAAGTCCTAATCGGAGCATGGAGTTAGTTATCATCTTAAGGAACAATACCCTGCCTCTCACCCAGTCCTTCGCGAGCCATTGACTTGAAGCAATCTGATTCGCAAGGCCGGTGTTGAGGAGCAACTACGTGCATATCCCCATGATTTCCGTTGAGATGAAAACACGTTTATACATGCATGATTCAGTGCCACCTAATGCTGGAGTCGATGTACACCAACAGATAAATTTGGAATCAAGATTTTCCGGCGCCCCCCAGCCTAAGTCTATCCACCAATCGTTAAAATGTAAAGAGGATTACAGTATCATACTACTGATTCCTCGATATAAGTAGTTAAAAGCTACATTCATCAACCACTAAAGCGTAACTGATCAGATAAAATTGATGACCACCAATATCCTCGGTTGTAGCAGATATATTAATGGATAGATGGGAAAACTTGATGATTGAAACGCTCAGCCCCAGCACCATATAGGTATGGTGCAGGTATGTAGATGACACATTCACTGTACTTAGAACACAGGATATAGATAGATTTTTCGAACATATCAACTCAAAGGTGGAGGCGATTCGATTCACTTATGAATTGGAAAGTCAATCAAAAGGGGAGCTTCCAATGTTAGATTGTAGCGTAAAACGGAAAGAAGGTGGGTAGTTGAACACACTAGTGTGTTTACAAGAAACTTACCCACACATTCAAACAGATATTTGGACTTTGGATTATCCCATCCTATATCAGTGAAAATAGGATTGGTGAAATTTTTAAGTGATAGAGCACAAAAGCTGTGTAGTACTAAGGAAAATCTAAGACAGGAAGTGAGGCATATAAGAGAAGCTTTGAAATCTAATAAATACCCTGATAAATTAATCAGCGATTGTGTAGGAAGATGTAAAAATAAAATAGATAATAATAGTGGTGATAGCGATAATAACATTAATATTAATGACGACATGCATCTGAAACATGCGCAAGATAATAAGAATAAGGAATCTAAATCGCCAGTGGTAATTCCATACAAAGAAAGAATCTCGGAAACCTTACACAGAATTTTTGACAATACAGGGAGGAATAAAAATGACTGGCATTCAAACCAAACACAAACTCAATTAGAAACAAGCTTTGTCGGTTAAAGCGTTGATCCTTTGGAGCCTTTAAAACAAAACAATTTAGTTCGTCTAATACCCTGGTGGAATGATTGTCGGTGAGGTCAAATACATGGGTCAAAGTAGTAGAACAGGTGCAGTCAGACTGACCGATCATAAAAACCCAGCAGCAAAATCTAGATTAGTTGACCCGAATAAGATAAGAAACCTGGAGAATAGTTCAGGTATACTACTCACTACATGCAATTACATACAACATGGGATGGGATAAGATAACTGTTCTTAAATCTATTGCCACAGGGTGGAGGCAGAGATTGATAAGTGACTGAGGCTTTGTTTATCGAATCGACTATAAGCACGTGCAATAGGAATGATTCAACACCTCTCTAGCCAGATATCTGGAATATTCTGCTACCCCAACGACGACAAATAGGTGAGGACAAAGAAAACTATAAAACTCAAGTTTCAAAGTCGTGCGATTATAATTGATGCTATGATCATGAACAATAAAATTCTCCGTGTGATCTTAGTTCGGACAGTCACTCCATTTTAAATCAATGAGTCGGAGGACACAAACGTCATCTAACCTGGGGGGATTGTGAAAACTACTTAACTGTACAGGTAGCTTAGGTATGAACGTGTTAGGCGTGTGTGAGGCATGCAAGCTACAACTCAATCTCAATGATTGAGAAGTTGTTTGGCAACACCGTGATCAAGATTTGAGAATATTCCGGGAAACGTCAAATTTATTCTACTAAATGTTCATGAATTCTGGATTTGATTGTATTATGCGGGGTACTCTCAGTGGTAACAATTTTGATTATCCAAAACTCTTGAACTCGTCGGTGGCGTAGCAGGTAGGATGCTCGACGACCATGCACATGGTCGGGGGTTCGATCTCCGGCCGACGCAATCCCTTACCTCTCTAAGCCAGAAATAATGCTAGTGAAGAGGAAAGGTTGGGCATGAGGCTAGCAACCCCGTCCTGTAAAATAAACACTGGTACAGAAACTTCAAGTCACTTGCTTGAAGCCCCTATGTCCCACTGGGGAACGTGAAAGAAAAAAAACTCTTGAACCAATCAAAAGTTGGGAAATATTTTTTCAGTATTATATTAAGAGATGTTGCTCACTACACACACACACAATGATATCGAATAGTGGAGTGATAGACTTGACGTCAAAATGAGCAAATGTAAAACATGGGAGACACGAAAAGAAGACAAAGAAACACGGCGAAATTCAACAGTAGCGCCTCAGGAATGGGAACGCTTCAATGACCTTGAAGACATGTAGATGTCGTTGTTGGCTGACGGCACCTGTGATTATCATAGCTGAAATATCATCGCTATTCACCAACTTAGGAGCAAATTTCACCCAGATCACGTTTTTGAGTACTGTTTGGAAAGTGTGTTAATAGCTCGTTAAGAATAGGGTCACTGTTAGCATAAGGGTTGTAATTAGGGTTAGGATTAAGGAGAGCTTTAAAGTTGATGATATTTATTTTAATTTGTTTTGTCATCCACGTTTCCCTGGTAATTAGTCGTCGATCCCCTTACTGGAAACCATAGTAATTCAACCGAGGTCTTTTAGGGAAGACTGCACAACAGGATAAGAGAGATAAACAATTCACAAGAAACAGCTCATCTTTAGTCATCTCGGTGAATACCCATGTACAGAAACCAGTCTAACTTGGCAACTGATACTTTTTCAATATAAACGGGAGGTATTGTTAAGTCATTTTTTAGTCAGAGAAAGGTACTCTGTTTAATGTGCTTTCATGCACTTTCCTGTAAATATACGCAAATTCTTTTTTGTCGCGAAAATTCCTCCTTTTTTATGATTGGTCGCCTTAAGGACACTCGTGCGTTCATATCTCTTGAGACGCTTTTGTTCAACTTTGCCCGAAACACAATACGAAGGAAGGTCAGAGAAGTAGCAAGCAAGCACAACACGAAAGATCCGTACAATTGATGATTTGGCGATAAGTTATACATGATTTCCCTGTATGTAGAGATATCAAATTCCAGATAAACATTCCGTTACCAACCACTCTTGTCTTCTACTGTTACTACAGTAATTGCGGAAGGAAACAGTGAACAATACATCTCATCCAGTGAAAACTGGCCCCACCTGATTGTAGTTTGAAAATTCTTTGCTGATTTGTAGGGTTATCCGATTTTAAACCATAGCTGTTGCTTTGTGATAATTGTCATATATATCTGATGTTGTATTGACCTGTCACTACCACACTGGATTGTCATTCATGAGATGAATATTACTGAACTTTCAGCAGTAAGGTGGTGGTAGGTATACAAGCATGTGAAGCAGCAGCAGCAGCTATGCAGCTGAAAGATTCACCTACTGATTGAGAATACGATCTGCGGAGATAAGTGGAGGGAGGATGGTCTCTGTGACTATCTTTGAGTGATGAAATGCGAATTGCCACAATTCTAGCAGGACTATCTGGATGTTTCCTTTTTTAGATTATCGGTGGTTATTACGCGAGTAACTGGGACGATAGAGAGGTGGGGGACCAGAGGGTGATACGTAGGTTTAAGAGTTCTGGTTAACTGCATTAGCATTTAATAATAATTTATATTTCAGTAAACGGGTGTTTACAAGAAATGTATGCCATTTTTACTGGCATGATCAGTAGTTACGTTATAAATTACAATCGTGAAGCATAAAAAAAATTAATACTTTTACAAAAGTTTACAAAATTGTTCGATAATGGTATGAGCAATCAGAACAGGTTCGTATAAATATTTAATTGTAAACCCTTCACCATCAAAGTTGAGCGACATCAACCAAAACTTCCTTCCGTTTCCTGCTAATAGTTATGGTCAACCAGTGAACCGCGTATATTTGGGTAAGTGCTTTGTCGCCACGTCATATTAAAAGCTGTTTCAGGAAGAGAAGAACGTCTTGGGAAACACAGCTGCAAGTATCCAGTTAAACATATAAAGAAGTATTGTTACTGCAATAAGTAATTTTCAGGCCATATGCTGCCAGGAACCAGACTAATGGCGAATTAATCCATATGAAAAATGACAATTGGAGCATTTAGGAGCTGGAAATTATCGCCATGCGAGTCAGTGTGATTTCAAATGCAACCATCAGCATGCGTGTTCATTATTTCTTAAATGACCAGATTTATTGGCGCTGAACAGATAGTTATTGGGATTTTTTATTGGTATAAAGGTATATTCCACAGCTGTAATCCTGAATGCTTCGTGGAGGAAGTTAATGCGTAATGCTCGAGGCAATTGAAAGATATGGGACCAATAATGTTTGCAGATCATTTGTCATTATAAGTGGTCAAATATCTAAACTCTTTATTCTCATTCAAAAAGTCATATAGAAGCTAAAATGGTGAGAGCAAAGAAAAAGAAGACAAACGACAGCAGCACAGAAGAAAGCAAGTGGGGTCCTCAAGAAGTGGATTACAAATTCATGAATATATATATATATATAATGCGTTGGTGGCACAGCGGTTAGGACACTCGCCGACCATGCATACGGTCCTGGGTTCGACCCCTGGCGGATGCACTACTTTATCTCTCTAAGCCAGAAATAAAGCTGGTAAGGAGGAAAGGTTGGGCATGAGGCTAGCAACCCCATCCTGTAAAAATAAACACTGCTACAGAAACTCCAAGCCTGTAGCGTGAAGCCTTACGTTCCACTGGGCACGCACAGGAATAATATATATATATATTTTGTGTAGAAACTAAGATTATGTTGATACACTACAGTGTAGCGTCCAGATTCGGCTAAACTCTTATAAATTGGTGTGTTAGAAATGTATTCCAACCAATGTGGGTGAAT